TGACTGGGCCCGTGGGAGTTTCCCTAGCTGGCTTCTGTGTACTTCTCGACCCGTCTCCCTCGGTCCTGGAGCACCTCTTCGTGTTCTTCACGGACCAGATCTCCCGGGCTCCTCCTGTCCTCTGTTGCCCAGCCTGTGAGTTGGCCATTTCTCAAGGAGCCTTTGCCTCTTTGAGAGGAGAATGGTTTTCCACAGCCAGGATGTGAGTGCCAAGCCTGCATGTGGCTACCCAGGTGTAGCTGCTCGCAGGCCGTCTCAGTGGACAGAGCCAGGGAATGTCTGGGTGCACGTGTATTTATATTTACACCTACACACACACCCACACACACACCTGTATTATCTATCTATCTATCTATCTATCTATCTATCTATCTATCTATCTATCTATATTGAATCCCATGTGTTCACAATACCCCTGGTTTAACATCACAGTGGTCTTTCTCGTTTTCTCCATTTCCATGTTTGTAATTTACCAACAATGAGAAAGTTGACTCTCCTTATCCTTTATACACTTACTAGGATAAGGAGAGTCAACTTTCTCATTGTTGGCTCAGTGCACGAATTCGTGCACCTTGAAAGGAACTGTGGGCCATGAGGCTGTGGTGGGCACAGGGGCAGGTCTTGGCCCATTCTCTGCACCCCTGCCCGGCCCCTCCCGCTGTGGCCCCTGGTCCCCTGTCTGCCGGCATCCCCGGTCCCGCTGCCACCACTCCCTGCGCTGACTGCACCATCCCCGCTCACACCTGCTTACGGCACCAGCAGTGGGTGTGAGCAGTGGCTCCGGCACCAGCAGCAGGTGCAAGCACCATGCATGACCGCTGCATGTGGGAGCAAAGAATTTTTAGTAACCACCAGAGGCTCACCCCAATGACAGTGACCTGAGCCCCGCCTTGGTCTGGCGCCCCTGTTCACCTGCTCCACCATCCTGCCATGGCCGACGCCCACCATGTTCCGCATTCTGCCGCCTGCTGCTGATGCCTGCCATATTCTGCGCGTGCCTCCTGGTGGTCAGCGCATGTCATAGTGACCGGTTGTTTGGTTGTTCTGCTGTTAGGTCTATTTGCATATTAGGGTTTTATATATATAGATGTGAGCAAGGCCCTCGTAAATATTCATTCTCTCAATGCCAGTCTCTCACCTGAGCCCCCACGAGGAGGCCCTGGTCATCCCACTCAGGTTCCAGGACCCTGCACAGCCCCTTCCCTCCTGCTCTGTTTAGACTCTGGACCCTGCACCGGGCCTCCTCTCCTCCTGGACACACTCCTCACCCGTCTTGGGCTCTGCCACCCTCTGCTGCCTCCTCTGGGGGGAAGACCCACACCCTCTGGGCTCTGAAACCACATACCAGCCATTCCCATGCAGGGCCACATGCACTCCCCCCGAGCTCTGCACACTGAGGCCGCGCTCCCCACAGGTGGGTGCCCTCCTTCCCTCCTTGGGATTGGACGCTCCAAGTCTGCTTTTGCGAGGGCGTGAAATGGCTCTTCCATGCTTAGATTTGCTATTCACCTGGAACTGATTTTCATAAACTGTCAGGTAGGCGTCCATATCCATTGTCACTCGCTTGCCCCTCCCTTTGTTGTAGAGAATAATGTCCCACACCAGCTATCTACTTCATTACATTGTAATATGTGTTTCCTTATGTGCCCTGCCTCCTACCATCCTACCATTTGACCCTAAAGTTCCTCATTCCCAAGTTGCTAAAGCCAAGTACAATGACATTCGCTTGCCGAGCACATGCATTAGAAGAGACACAAGGGGTGGGATAAAGAAGTCCCCTTCTGCCTTCCACAGTGAGAAAACCCTGTCCTCCCGCGTGGGCCCAGAGAAGCCTGGCCCCGCAGAGCCCCGCGGGCTCCCGACTGCCGTGGAGCGCTCAGGTTTCAGCGATAGAAATGAAGGGCCCATGATGCTCCGGAAAACCTGGCCCGAACATGAGCACGCATGACACTCGCCAGGGCCCACCTGTCACTGTTCCTGCTCCCGGACACTGACCGGTTCACCATCCCACTTCACATCGGGAAACAAAGTTTAGAATCAAGACACGTGTTCTGGGATGTTAAGTCCTCTCCCTAATGTAATGAGGCTCCCAGTATTTCAGTTTTTGGTGAACAATTCTTTCGTAGACTCAATGGTGTTGAGAATTGTGGAATTATATTAAAAAAAGGTTATTTCCCAGATTTATGTGGGGGACACTGACGTAGGGGAGGGTCAGGGACTTTTCAAATACTCGGTGACTGGTCAGCGCTGGACTTCCTGATTCTGAAGCCCTGGTTTTGCCCAAATCATTTTATTTTAAGGTTTCCCCCTCCCCCATAACAAATTACAGTTTAAGGAGACAGGACAATATTTCATCCACATTTTACAAACTATAAAGGCAAATATCGTGAACGCCAGAGCTGAAGTTCCTGTTTCCTGATAGGACATCACCCTCCCAGGACAACCTCCTCGGTGTGCTGAGACCCGTTCTGTTCTCTCAGCCTCAGAGGGAGACGCCTTCTCGCTCACACATGGCAGCCCTGAAGACGTCTGCTGCTTCTTTGCCTGTGAAGTGCAGTGCTGGAGGGCAGGGTGGGAACCTGTACTGCCAATGAGAACATCTGGGCGTCACAATATGGCAAGGCCTTCAGATAGTAGCTCCCCTAGAGAAGGCACTTTCACCTGCTGACGCACAGCTGCGGGTCCAGGAATCCGGAACCAGCGCGAGAGCAGGCACCCAAACAGGCTGGGCCTGTCTATTCTTAGCCATGGAGTGCCCGACCGAAATACTTCTGGGTTCTTTAGCTTCCGAAGATCTTTTCTTAATCCTGAGATCACCGGCTATGGTTAGTCATAGCTGAGACCCATGGTATATGCAGCAGTAACCCTCCGCTCCTCGTATATAACAAGTGTGGGCATTTGTCCTGAGCCTCGTGCTTTGGCCAGAGAAAGGGGGCCGCTGTGCTGGTGACTTAGGGAGTCTTGGCTGGGTTGTGGGCCTCCGACAGCTCGAAGGCTTGATCCAAATGCAAACGCCTCCAGGCCAGCCGTCTGTAAGTTTGCTCCGGTGTGTCTATTCAGGAAACAACTTGGTTGTGTCTATTCAGAAAAACGAACCCCACGACTCACTGAGGACCGCCACTCGCCTTGGCTCTTGGCAAGCTGGTTGCCACTTGAAGAAGGCTTATGGTGGGGATGCTGGGGAAGGGAGTGGTCTAATCTGACACCTTTGGGTGCTAAAGGGATGGACACAGAGAGACAGCAGGCAGCGTGGGAAGGAGCAGATGTGAGGGCAAGGGCTGTTTTTAGAATGGCATGGCCATCTGAGAGTGTTTGCAAGCTGAGAAGGGTGCGTGCGGGGCAGAGAGAACCGGAGCGGGAACACTGAGCTGGAAAGGGAACTGGAGGGGCAGAGTCACAGGCAGGCGCTGGACCAAGAGGACGGAGAATGAGCGGGGTCTGCCGTGCGTATTCTGTAGCGACAAGGCGGCTGAGCAGTGGGAATGAGGCCCTTTCTGCCCCACAAGGCACTGGGGCAAATAGTGCAGTTTACCGAGGCTGCGTAGGTGAGCGCTTTTCTCACGAGTCTTTCATTCGTACTTAGTGGAACCCTTTGTAGTGGGGTACACGTGCTCCCCACTGGGCTTCCTGAGTCCAGGTCAGAGATGCCGGTTCACCCTCTCTGCAGACTACCCGGCAGATGGGGAAGTGCTCTGGGGCGCGTGACAGTGTGGGGTGCAGTGGGGACACCTGGGGGTTTGGTGCTTCTCCAACAGCTGCCACAGGCGCCTCCTTGTAGGAACCCCACCTTTACCCTCTAGTCCAGACATAACGGTGCTGCCCGTTCCCACGCCTCCCCCGACGCTGGAGGGAGGCTGGGTTGCTTCTCAGGTTCTCCACCGTCGCTCTGCATTTTAACCTTCTCAGGTTTTCTAGGTCAGTTACCATGCATTTGCTCTTTAGCTTCCTGACGTTTAAGCTTGGATCTTTCCCAGAACAAAACACTTGAACGTGACACCTGAACCACAAGTGTAATGCCGTGGGGGAGCCATTCATTTCTTTGGTCTCAGAGTTTCCGACGTACTTTCTTTCAGTAGCTCCGAGAAGGGATGGATGCTTTGGCGCTGGGGTTCCAGTTGGAATCACAAGTGCCCACAGCAGCCGGACAGGCGTCCTGGCTCCCCTCACTGGTTCAAAACCTCAGACAGGTCGGGGCCAGGAGTATGCATGAATTTGGGTGAATCTGGAGCCGTATGTGTGCCCTGTTTCTCATTGAGGACAACAGGAGGCCTGTGGGCAGCAGCTGCCGTGGACTGGAGATGATGAGGCCACGAGACAGGGGGCCTGTGACGGTCCCCACCGCCCCACCCTGCCGGTTCCCCACGGTTTGTCCTGGGAGGGGACAGTTTCAGAAGCTCCCACGTGTCCCCAGTGAGGAGCATGGGAAACAGGAAAGACGTGAAGGTCAGGGGCATTGTCTTAGCCCCAACGTGGGAGAGGCGAGGTGACAAGCAGAGTCAGAGGCCAGCACTCCCCGGAGTCCACGCCCGGCTCCAGCGAGGGCCGAGCGGACGCTGTGGCAGGTGGAGGTGGGGTTATGGCCTAGACCCGTGCTCGGCAAACTGCGGCTCGCGAGCCACATGTGGCTCTTTGGCCCCTTGAGTGTGGCTCTTTCTTAGGAGTACCCCAATTAAGTTAATAACAATGTACCTACCTATATAGTTTAAGTTTAAAAAATTTGGCTCTCAAAAGAAATTTTAATTGTTGTACTGTTGATATTTGGCTCTGTTGACTAATGAGTTTGCCGACCACTGGCCTAGACCCAACTATGCTGAGAAAACAGACCAGGAGGCAAACCAGGGACTGCAGCAGGGCTGCAAGCAGAGCCCAAGTGAAAAGCAGCCCCGCTTTTCCTTGCCACCCCCCCCCCCGCCACCACCACTGTCTCCTCTTGGAGGTGCTGCCTAGGGAAGGAGAAGGAGGTGGTGAGCAACCTTTGAGCTCCAAGAAGCAGCCTCCATGGAGCCTGAACTTTGAATTTGACTGAATATCGGTGTGAAAGAGACATTTGAAATGAAAGAGACTATTTCAAAGCCAAAGAAACTAGTTTAATCCGAAAGTGACGGCATTCCCTTTCACTAGCAAATGTAAATGCCTCTCCTGTCAGCAGAAATCAGGGCTCCTAAGAAAGAGTAATAAACACCGAAGAAGCCACATTTTCTTAAAGTAGCCGAGGTGCACGTAGGATGGGGCCCTCTCACGGGAATGTTGATTCCGCTGCATTCATGCAGCGCCGCCTCACTAGGCACATGTCCCATGTTTCACGTGGTTGTTATGTACGTGCATCCAGTGGTGTGATGGCCGCACAGGACACTAGAGAGACCCAGGGACTCGCTCCCCGACATGCACTTTAATGGTTGAAGCAGGTAACAGACAACTGCGGGTTGTGTTAGAATACAGATTACCACTCGGTACTCACTACAACTGCAAAGCCAGCTTGGTAGGGAAAGACAATTAGACTCCCCCCAATAGCTTGATGTTTACGTGTTCGAGGGCCATCATAGGAATTTAAATTGTGGAGTTTGACATACAAAAAAAATGCTCGGTGTACATGTCCTGAAGTTATTGCTAACGAGAGAGAGAGAGAGAGAGAGAGAGAGAGAGAGAGAGCTGCAAACACAGCGGCAGGCAGGTCTGCGCTGCAGCCGGCGCGGGCCTCCCTTCCCGTCCTCCGCACCACACGCTGTAACATAAGCATCTGAAGCCGGGGCTTTAGTTTTGGGCTCGGCAGTTTGCTCCACATCTGCCCAAAGTCATGACTGTCGCCCCGTGTAACTGCGTGTGCGTGCTGCTCGGCCCGCGGGGGGCTTAGGCCTTGGGATACAGCGTGACCGTGTCGTAGCCCTCGGGGGGCCTCGTGCGGGCTCGGGCGTGGGTTTCGCAGTACAGCTCGCCCTCCACGAAGAAGTAGCCCTTCTGCTTGAGGTTGAGGTTGCAGTCGGCACACACGAAGCACTCGGGGTGCCGGTACTTGTCCCGCGCCTTCACCACAGCCCCGCTGGGGAGGAGAAGGAGGGGAGTCAGAACCGCAGAGGCGAACCCTGGCTCCCAGGTGACAGGTACCGGGGAGGCAGGAGGGTCTGAGCCGCATCAGACACCAGCGCCCCCAGCGGTACGCAGGGCCCAGCGGTGGCTCGGATGTAAGTGTCAGGGGATGCAGGGCGGCCAGGACACCCCATCATGCGTCTCCCTCTGAGATGACTGCTTTTCAGATTTGCAAACAAGTCGTTGCCATAACAATTATAGGTTGTTCCTCTATCATCCCTCCCCGCTGTGTCCCTGAAAGAGGGAGGCGTGATTCTGCAGAGGATTCTGACCTCGGCCGAGGTGGTTGCCTACACCAGTGGTCGGCAAACTCATCAGTCAACAGAGCCAAATATCAACAGTACAACGACTGAAATTTCTTTTGAGAGCCAAATTTTTTAAACTTACACTATATAGGTAGGTACATTGTTATTAACGTAATTAGGGTGCTCCTAAGGCTTAGGAAGAGCCACATGGGGCCAAAGAGCCGC